TTTGCTAAGAAATCAAGTAAAACATTTTGAAAACCACGTCATTTAGTTGAAAACCACGGCTAGCCAAGTTTACGCCGTTTCGCATGGTTTTCACTAAACGACCAAAAACGAAAGGTGGTTTTTGAAGCGTTTTTGTTGGAGAACTATTTAAAAATGCCCAAAAGTAAAAACTAATCATTAGAAGTTGAAAACCACTTGGTTGTTTCGGACGCCAAAAACCAATGCCGATAACCGAAAGCCGAACGCCGGTTTCCGAAGACCGAACGCCGGATGGCTTGGTTTTTGGTTTGGGCGAACTCCAAGTGTTTTTAGGCAGTTTAAAACTTAAGAGAAACATTTTTTAATATGCAAAAGATATTTGATGAGAGAAGCCTAGAGAGCCAAGATTTGAAAGTTTGTGCTGGTCTTGATCACATTAAGACCGACTCAATAGAATTCTAATTCTTCGTTCTTGATTCTTGGTTCTTGGTTCTCAAATCATCATGCCATGTTCCTTCGCCTTGGTTTTGCTCACTTTAACCTTGTTATTGTCACGGTTGTTTGGCATTATCAAAACCTGTCATAAAACGAACACAGTTTAGTACGACGTAGGCGTACACCCGTGTTCCAACAATTTCCCCCTTTTTGATAATGGCAAACAAGACGGGGATATGCATACTAAGGGATATTTGATTTTCAGAGAATTGTGAATAAGTTCCCCCTTAATTTGTGCTTTTTAAAAAAAAAATTAGTCGGATCAAACGGTCTCGTTCCCCCTTAGTATATGCATAGCCCTTTTCTTCCCCCTTTTGACATTAACAAAAAGATAAAAGATACTTTTATTTATTGGTGGGAAATAGCGGAGTACAACAGAAGCTGATAAGTCCGTTTCGTTATTATCATTTACATCATATTCTAAACGTTATTGCACGTAAATAGTATTTAATCATCTCATAAAATGTGGTTTTAATGAATAAAACTCTCATTTTCGTTCTAAGAGTCATAAAATAGGATTCCACATGAAATCATCATAAATCATCCATTTTTGTTCAAGTATTTGAGAAGAGGGGAATAAATCATCAAAGGATCAAGATTCGGGCTTGAACGAGCTTCCGGGAGGTCAAAAACAGTGTCCGGGGCCAAAACGGAGCGAAATTGGGCCAAAATCACGAAACAGCCACGAAGCCCAACGGACCAAGGCCTCCAGGCGTCCAACTTGGACGCTTGGCCAAGTTGGACGCTTGGGAGTTGGACGCTTTGGCTTAATTGCAGCCCAAGAATGACACGTGGCAAAATCTGGTTGGCCGGGACAGCTCAGGCGTCCAGATCTAGACGCTTGGACTTGGACGCTTTGACTTGGACGCCTTGGATTTGTTCCTATAAATACAGCGTGATTCTCCCCATTCAAGCCATCACCATCACTCCCTTTCTCGGGAATTGAGCTCTATATTCCAGTTCCGATTATTCGTTTAGTGTTCTAGTAGTTTTAGAATAATTTTTGGAGAAATTATACTCCCGACCTGTTCTGTTCCGCTTTTACGGAAGTTGTAAGTTTACTCTATTTAATAAAATGCTGTTTTAATTTATGTTTGCATAGTATGAGTTAGTGTCCGGATCTCTGGGTCCGGACTAGTTTGGTTGTTTATTTGTGATGTTAAATCAATGTTGGAATGGTTAATCTATTGTTCTTGCCTTATCTGGTTAATTAGTATCGGAAGATTTAATTGGCCATTTATTGAGAAAATACTTTATGTCAAAAGGCTATGATATTCAAGTACAACGGATTAAGTACAAATCTAGAAATGGATGAGTAGTAATAGAAATATTATTATTCCAATATTTAATATGATAAAATAGATCCAAATGATGTCCTGACCCTAGGTCCAGATCTACACTTATACTATGCAGACTTAATTTATTATTTTTACTCTGCTCCTTTTATAATCGTTCCGAGAAGACTTTCATAAACCAATCCTAATCTTCGCCTAATTAGAGTAATTAAACTAATTCCCTTCGTCCACTCCTCGAGAGACACGACACTCGGAGAGAAAACTAACCCTTTACTGGGAAGGTTTACTACCCGAAAAACTACAACTGTCAAATGGCGCCGTTGCCGGGGAGTGGCACGACATTAGTTTAATTTCTTTTAATTAGCTTGGGTGAAGATTGGTTAGAACGATCTTCTCACTTCTTTTTCACCAGCCACTCGTTATAATTATTATGGATAACCCCAGTGGTTATTACGGTCCGCCTTCTTTCTACCAACCACCCAACCGCCCTCCGTTTCAACCCCACCAAACCTATCACCCACATCAGTACCCAAATGATAATACTTACCAAGTCAACAATAGATCTGACTACTATCCCTACCATGAGGAACCACCATATGATACCCCGTCTAGAAACCTTGGATATTCTCCATACCAAGATTCTGATGGGGATAATTATTATGAACCTCATGGTGACCAATATGACTATGACCAATTTGGGCCTATGTGCGACGATCAACCTGATCCACTCGTCGAAGAGATACTAAGATTAGAACATAAAATCTTCTATTTCGACGAACTTTTATTCGTTGAAGGCTTGTGGTATGAACCACCTTACTCCCGTGACTACACCTTATTTGCTGAAGAACAAATTGAAGCAAACAAGGTGGCAATTCGAGAAAGAGCAAAACTTCTTGAATCAGTTCGGAAGGAAAAGGAGTTCAAAAGGAGATTATGCAAGGGATCAGAATTGATGCAGAAAATGCTGGATGACTTTCAAAGAGAGAGACTAGAAGCTGAGTCTAAAGCCGATAAATTAGTCAATGATCTCTGTATGGCTGTTGAACTTAAGCGCTCCCTCCATTCTCAAGATCAAATGAGGGAGATTAATGTTCAAGAAGAGGCTCTAGAACCTAAGACCAACCCTGAACCATCCAACCATCAGGTGCCAGTTCTAGAAGATTCACCAAGTTCTACACCATCACAGAAACCCGAGAGCATAACAACTCTTGCTAGGGCTACTGTGGTGATGTTACCTGAATACCCTTCTAGCCAAGTCCTAACCAGCATAGTCGTACATGAGGTGGAACCAACTGAGGGACCTGACTCAGAACCACCTACGCTCATTCAAGAAAAGGAGGAGGAAGTTTTGCCTACGGCAATAAACGACCATCTCCTTAATTGTGTTGAAGACACACCTCCAGAGAAACCTGTTCTGGAGGAAGTAGAGCCCACTACCTACCCCCAAGATTCCAACGTTCAAGAGTCTAAGGAGGAATCTATAGACGAAGAAATACCTAGCACAGAGGAACCAATAACGTCTATAGATAATCATGCTTCATCAGAAGACTTAGACCAAACTTTCTTTGACTCCCTACTTGACGGGTGTGACTTTGTCTGCCCGAAGGATAGTTGGAGCAAAAAGAGTTGGGATGAACTTCTGGTAAGTGACACTGAAGACTCATCCATGGGGGAAAGCACGGTCGTAATCATCAAACCACAAATGGATGGTCAGCTTGTTGAAGATAAGAAAAAAATCAATCTCGCTATGAAGGCCAATGATGTGGATCAACTGAGGAGACTTCTGCCACCACCCACCTATCTAGAGTCTCCTCCTTTTATCCTGTTGCCGCCAAGCCGCAGGGACGAGTCAAGGATCCTGGACCTTGACCGAGCAACAAATCAAACAAGGTGGCACCAGAAGAGAGTCAGAAGGGCCAAACTTTATGATTCTCGGATCGGAAAGTCACGGAAAAAGTGGGTGAGCGTCGAGCTACGGACGTTAAAGAAGCGCTTAACGGGAGGCAACCCGTCATTCAAATAACTAAAATAATTAAATAAATTAAATAGTTTTATTTGTTAGTTTTTGAGGTTTTGCTTGCCGCACCAGTTTTGGGGGCAAGAGTTATTTTGTTTGTTGTCTTTGCTTTTGCAGATGAGAGAATTGTAGGGCATACCTTACAGTGGGAGCGAAGAAGAGGTCTCACCTGGGGAAAACACAAGGTTTCTGCAACCTTCGAGGCTTCTTGATCCAACAATCCTGGTTGAAGTTGGCTACTGAGAGAATATTGACCTTATCTCATTTCACAGAAAAAGAGATGATAAAACTTGTACTAAACCTACGAACTACTAAAAATAAAACCTTAAAGTGTTGTACTGAGAATTTTGGTAAAACTCTTATAAAATACGTAATAAAGTATAAAAGTACAATACCAATAGATAATAAAGTTAGAAGTACGTTGAATCTTGTAAGTATTGAGATAACTTAGTAATTGCATATGAGCATTTCAACCATTAACTCCAATGCCCAAATACTCTTAACCACGAGGGCGTGGTTCCGTCTAAGTGTGAGGAGGTAAGAGTTCATGGTTGAAATGATCTTTTTAGGAATTGTTTTGTCTATATATTGTTAGGAAAAGATTTTATAAAATATTCATCAATTTTATTGGTTTGATTAATTAATCTTTAGTTGTCACCCGTAAAAATTGGAAATTTTTAAATTTTTTGTCAAACTTTTATTTTTATTCTAACCTTTTGGGAATGTTTTCTAAAATGATTTTGGAGAAATTATACTCCCGACCTGTTCTGTTCCGCTTTTACGGAAGTTGTAAGTTTACTCTATTTAATAAAATGCTGTTTTAATTTATGTTTGCATAGTATGAGTTAGTGTCCGGATCTCTGGGTCCGGACTAGTTTGGTTGTTTATTTGTGATGTTAAATCAATGTTGGAATGGTTAATCTATTGTTCTTGCCTTATCTGGTTAATTAGTATCGGAAGATTTAATTGGCCATTTATTGAGAAAATACTGTATGCCAAAAGGCTATGATATTCAAGTACAACGGATTAAGTACAAATCTAGAAATGGATGAGTAGTAATAGAAATATTATTATTCCAATTATTAATTTAATATGATAAAATAGATCCAAATGATGTCCTGACCCTAGGTCCAGATCTACACTTATACTATGCAGACTTAAATTATTATTTTTACTCTGCTCCTTTTATAATCGTTCCGAGAAGACTTTCATAAACCAATCCTAATCTTCGCCTAATTAGAGTAATTAAACTAATTCCCTTCGTCCACTCCTCGAGAGACACGACACTCGGAGAGAAAACTAACCCTTTACTAGGAAGGTTTACTACCCGAAAAACTACAACTGTCAGAAGCATTAAAAAAACAAGACAATTAAAGGAAAAGAGATAGAAATTCTAGGGGTGTCCTAGTTTTCGTCTTCGGTCTCGTCCTCGTCGTCGTCGACGTCCATCTCATCACCATCAATGGCGTCATCGAACTCGTCGTCATCCGGGGAGCTTGACGGGGCATAGGAGGCATCGTCTTCGTCCTCGTCACCGTACACTTGCCCAAAGAACGTGCCATGGTACGGTGGGGGGACGTAGTTAACGCGTTGGAAGTACGCGTTCATGGCGTACCCTTGGCGTTGGACCGCCTCGTCGAGCCGCTCAAGGTAGCCATCCATCCCGTCAACTTTGAGGTGTAGCCAGTTGAGGGATTCGGCGATGGAGGCGAGGTTGGCCCGGGCCTGGGGTTCGGCTGGGCCAGCGGCAGGGGCAGTGCGGCGTGGCGCGACAGTGGCAGGCGCGGCGTTGTCCGACCGCTTGGTGAAGGTTTGGGCGCTTATCGTCCAAAGCTTCGTGGCCTTCGTGAGCAGGCCAACGGTGGTGGTTACCTTGAACCGTTCAAGGATGTCCATCACCAAAAACGGGTACGGGAGGAGGTGATCATGGTCGGTGGACACGGCGATCGTCATGTTGATCATGACAAACTTCGCCCAATTGATTGGGGCCGAGTGCATGATCGCGTGGACGAGCTTGAGGTCCTCTCCGAACATGATTGTGTGGTCGTGCTTCCGGGGTTTGATGATCCGGAAGACGATGTAGAGGACGAGGCGGCCTTCGGGGGTAGCGGAGTGGATGGTTGGGCAGCCCGAGGCATGGCGGATGAGCTCTGTGATGCCAAGCTCGTTGAGGATAAGGCCCTCGTTGTTGAGCACCCATTCCTCTCCGCCATAGTGAGAGACATCGTCGCCTTGGAAGGGAAGGCCGGCGATGCGCCCAAGCTGCTCTACAGTGAGCTCAATCGGCGTGGACTTGACGAGGCTGTAGATGACGTCGTCCTCACGCCGGAGGTTGGAGTAGAAGGCCCGGATCAGCGCCGGGTTGATCTCCTTCCACGCCCGGGAGACGAACGGCCAAAGGCCGGCTTGATGAAGCTGTGCGTCTAGGTCGTCGTAACCCTGCAACTCTGGGTAGCGCTCCGGGATGATTCGCGGGGGAGCCACAACCCGTTTAGAGAAGAAGGTGAGGAAACGGGTGCGTTCCTCCTCGGAATCAAACCAGAGGTATGACCCGTCGCCATAGTAAAGGCGTTCCTTGGAGGATGTCGTAGGCGCCCGAGATTTGGACTTTGATTTCCCGGAGGTTCCTGCCCTGCCCTTATCTTTGCCCATGGTGAAGAAATCTCAAAAGATTAGAGTAGAGAAGATGAAATATGTAGAGATATTGAAGGAATTTGTGTTTGTGTGTGTAAAAGTGAAGAGAGGGGGTCCCAATATATAGAAAAGAGGGTCCCCAACGACCAGATTTTCAAAAATATGGCCGTTGGAGCAATTAGTGCAGTTGCAACGGATTTTTTTTTTTGAAAAATTTATCCAGAACAGCGATGTTCCAAAGGCTACATTGCTGTTGGGACAGCGCTGGTTTGCGTCAAGTTTTAAAAACAAGTGTTAAATGGACAGCGATGGTGGGAATCCTACAGCGCTGTTCCCAAGTTTCTGGAAAAATGTACGGGGTTGAACCCATTAGAACAGCGCTGTTGGGTGTCCCTACATCGCTGTTTTACGATAGAGAAAAAATTTGTAAAAATGGACATCGATGTTGAAAGTGAGACATCGCTATTTGAAAAGTTTCTGGTTTTGGTGGAAAACAAGGTGTTTTGGGTAGACAGCGATGTTTTTGAAAGGAACATCGATGTTCAAAAAGTTTCTGGAAAGTGAAGAGTAAGGGACTCCCTGGGACAGCGCTGTTGGCTTGTTGTACAGCGGTGTTGGCACAAACTGGTTGACGGTGTTTCTATCAACAGCGGTGTTGGGTCTTCTGGACAGCGCTGTTTGCATGGTTCCCCCTGATTTCATGAACGGGGTACCTGCGAAAAAAGAAAAAGTTCTCCGACGCTCAAGTTAGTAAACGTTTAATAAATTTAGATGCACAACTTAGATCATCGTGGAGTCAAGGATTCCGAGTTCACTTCGAATGCGGAAGAACGACTCTTTCTCTAAAGGTTTTATGAAAATGTCGGCTAATTGGTTGTGTGTTTCTACAAACTCAATTTCGACATCACCTTTGAGAACATGATCTCTAAAGAAATGATGCCTAATGTCAATGTGTTTTGTCCTTGAGTGAAGAACGGGGTTCTTCGTCAATCTTATGGCGCTAGTATTATCACAACAAAGAGGGACGTGATTGATACTAAGGCCATAGTCCACGAGTTGTTGCTTCATCCAAAGGATTTGAGCACAATAACTACCGGCAGCTACATATTCCGCTTCGGTTGTGGATAACGCAACACGGACTTGTTTCTTACTAAACCATGAGACTAGAGAGCTACCAAGTAAGTGGCAAGTCCCACTCGTACTTTTATGGTCTAATTTGCAACCAGCAAAGTCCGAGTCGGAATAACCGACGAGATGACAAGAAGAGCCTTTTGGATACCACAGTCCAACGTTAACCGTGCCGACAAGGTATTTCATGATCCTTTTCACCAAGCATGATGGTGTGGCCATGCTTCCGGGTTTGATGATCCGGGAGACGATGTAGAGAACGAGACGGCCTTTGGGGTTGGCGGAGTGAATGGTTGGGCGGCCTGAGGCATGGCGTTTGAGCTCGGTGATGCCAAGCTCGTTGAGGATAAGGCCCTCGTTGTTGAGCACCCAATCCTCTCCACCATAGTGAGACACATCGTCGCCTTGGAAGGGGAGGCCGGCGATGCGCCCAAGCTGCTCCACGGTGAGCTCGATCGGCGTGCTCTTGATGAGCGAGTAGAGCACGTCGTCCTCACGCCGGAGGTTGGAGCAGAAGGCCCGGATCAGCGCCGGGTGGATCTCCTTGCGCGCCCGGGAGACGAACGGCCAAAGACCGGCTTGATGAAGCTGTGCGTCAAGGTCGTCGTAGCCCTGCAGCTCTGGGTAGCGCTCCGGGATGATCCGTGGGGGAGCCACAACCCGTTTAGAGAAGAAGGTGAGGAATTGGGTGCGCTCCTCCTCGGAATCAAACCAAAGGTAAGTCCCGTCGCCATAGTAGAGGCGCTCCTCGGAGGATGAAGTAGGCGCCCGGGATTTGGACTTTGATTTCCCGGAGGTGGCGGCCCTGCTCTTGTCCTTGCCCATGATGAAGAAGAAGCAAAAACAATCTCAAAGGAGGAGAGTAGAGATGATGGAATAAGCAAGGATATTGAAGAGAATTGTGTTTGTGTGTGTAAAAGTGAGAAGAGGGGGTCCAAATATATAGGAGAGAGGGTGGCCAACGTTCAAAATTTTTAAAAAAGAGCTGTTGGAGCTTTTAATGCAGTTGCAACGGATATTTTTTTGAAAGATTTGACCGGAACAGCGATGTTCTACAGGCGACATCGCTGTTAGGACAGCGCTGTTGTGCCTGGTACAGCGCTGTTCTGCGTCGAGTTTAAAAAACTGGAGTTAAACAGACAGCGATGTTGAGTGCCCTACAGCGATGTTTCAAAAGTTTCTGGAATTGTGAAAGGGTTTGAACCCATTTGAACAGCGCTGTTGGGGGTCTATACATCGCTGTTTTGCGATAAAGGAAAAAAAATTTGTAAAAGAAGGACATCGATGTTGAGAGTGAGACATCGCTGTTCAAAAAGTTTCTGGTTTTGGTAGAAAACAAAGTGTTGGGTAGACAGCGATGTTTAAAAGAGAACATCGATGTTCAAAAAGTTTCTGGAAAGTGAAGATTTAAGGGACTCCTTGGGACAGCGTTGTTGACTTATTGTACAGCGCTGTTATAAAACTTTCTGGATGACGGTGTTTCTCTCAACAGTGCTGTTGGGGCTCCTGGACAGCGCTGTTTGCATGGTTCCCCCTGATTTCATGAACGGGGTACCTGCGAAAAAAGAAAAAGTTCTCCGACGCTCAAGTTAGTAAACATTTAATAAATTTAGATGCACAACTTAGATCATCGTGGAGTCAAGGATTCCGAGTTCACTTTGAATGCGGAAGAACGACTCTTTCTCTAAAGGTTTTGTGAAAATGTCGGCTAATTGGTTGTGTGTTTCAACAAACTCAATTTCGACATCACCTTTGAGAACATGATCTCTAATGAAATGATGCCTAATGTTAATGTGTTTCGTCCTTGAGTGAAGAACGGGGTTTTTCGTCAAGCTTATGGCGCTAGTATTATCACAACAAAGAGGGACGTGATTGATACTAAGGCCATAGTCCACGAGTTGTTGCTTCATCCAAAGGATTTGAGCACAACAACTACCGGCGGCTACATATTCCGCTTCGGTTGTGGATAACGCAACACTGACTTGTTTCTTACTAAACCATGAGACTAGAGAGCTACCAAGTAAGTGGCAAGTCCCACTCGTACTTTTACGGTCTAATTTGCAACCGGCAAAGTCCGAGTCGGAATAACC